GAATAAGGGAATAATGTATATCTGTGTTGTTTTTGGATTATATAATCAGAATACTTTTTTACTCCATTTAGTTATTATTTCCTTTCATTTCTTTAAAGCAAATTCTGGTTTTCATAACTACACATTTAATAACTCATTTCATTCATTAAAAACACATTCAACCGCTTTTTGATATTTCAGCAACGAAAACTTAACTCGCTATATTTTTTTTACTCCCTCCGTCCCGAAAAGCTTCGTCAACTTTGAATTTCACGTGGATTAATAATGTAAAAACTGTGTGGTTGAAATTTGTGCAGAGGAGAGAGAATTAACTTTAGCCACATATTCCTTACTTTAAATGGAAATGACAGATCTTTTTGGGACATCTAAAAAAAGAAATTTGGCAAACCTTTTCAGGACGGAGGGAGTATCACATAGGGGTTTGCATTCGGTCTGTCGGTTAACCGACCACAGAAAAATAATAACTGATCATTAATTTTGAACTGTCATGATCGATCAATATCTTCGTCATGACCAACCGTGTATCGGTTTTGGTCAGTTTTAATACATTACTGAATAACTGAAATAATTCCATCATTTTCAATGGAGCCAAAGACTCACTATTTTTCGGTTTGAGAATATGATGGAATAAAGCAAAATGGCTCACTAAACTGTCTGCGCTTCTTTGTTATGAAGTAACAGTCAGCCTATGCAATTTTCGACGCAATTTTCACTATGGGTCATTCGGAAACAGTCTTTCTGTGCTTTTAGTACAGGGGTAAGACTGCGTACATCCGACCCCCCTTACCGCACCGTAGGTGGGAGCCTTTGCGGCACTGGGGTAATGATGATGATGATGACTGAATAACTTAAATACCAATATGTAATATAAGTGACAGGGTATTCACCTATCTTAGATGCCTTGTTTTAGTGTGTTTGATTTCATCACTTTTTTCATGTGATTTTTGAGAATTTTGTTCTCCTAAGTCCTACCTTACATTATCAAGAATCTCTAGTTTATATATAGATTTCATTGTGGATTTTGTTTATGGTTTTTGCTACTTAAAGTTCATCGTCTTCTTCATGCTTCACTGCTGCTGATTCAGTTCTGTGTTCTGGTCTTTTGAAGACTTGGTTAGATTCCTTCATCGATGAAAAGAAAAAGAGTAAGATAAATGGGCCAGTTTCATCTACCGCTTTTATCTATCTGTCGTTGATGCCTTTCTAGGACGCACGAATCAGCGGCGTTGTAAAAATAATCCAGGCATAAATGAGGTGCAGGAAAAACTAAACACAACATGTGTTAGCCAACAAAGTGGATGAGGAAGCTGCATGACAAGTGTGGCATCTGGCAGTCAATCAATTATGACAGCTGAATTATTTTCAGATTATTGGATGTGATAGATTCGTTGTCATTCAGTATCCTTTTTTTGTCTCTGAATGATTTCAGGACTCTTTCTGTGTTGTTTCCTTTCATTTCAGAACTCTCATGTAGCCTATATATGTAAGGGCCTCTGTTATATACTTATATGAAATAAAGATATCTTGGGAATAAAGATATCTTGGGAAGAATTAGTTTGTGTGTGTCTTGACAAGGTCGGGCACCAAATTAATTCGAACTAAAGCATAGTTGTTTATCCCACGGGTATCTCTCTTGCACGGATCTTATATTCTAAGCATAAATAAAAAATCCTACTGCTTCATCTTCTTACCAGTTTGTGAGATCTCGACTTTGGATGAGATCTAGCACAAGGATTCATAACAATTTGGTACTACCTTCAAGAACGATGGGAACAGAAGGGGATGCACTTGAATCACTGAAGAGCATGATTGAAGGCGGCAATCAACGTCAACTAACTGTCGAACACATACCGGCAAATTTGACGGATTCAGTTGCCAAGCTTGCAGATCTGCCAGCAATGGTGATAGCCTTGTCTAGTGTCGTGCAAAGGCTGAAGAACAAATCCTTACCAGTTCCCCCAAGGTCCGAAAGGCTTCGGGAAACTGAACACCGTTGCTGTGACATGTAAGATTTTGTTGTTTCACGGTTCTCAAAACTTGAATTCCCTCAATGTGACCCCAAAAGTGACCCCTTATCCTGGCTCAAAAGATGCGAGAGTTTCTTTATCCAACAACGAACGCCTGCCCGAGCATGAGTGGGTTTAACAACTTTCCATATGCACCACTCAGCTTTGGCTGATCAGCTAGATCCAGTGAATTCCAAGATTAATAGGACAGAATTTTACACAAAGTGCATGAATAAATGTGAACCCCCTTACAGTGCCAATCCAGAAGGAGACCTAACCAAACTTGTTCAAAGAGGTGATTGGTAAATTTGAACAGTTGGCATCTCGATCTGCATACAAATATAAATGTTCACAACCAGGCTACACGAGGCAATCCTTATGGAGGTGGAATATCAAGAACCTATTGATCTTGACACAACAATGATGTTAGCATGTAATGTCAATTGGAAATATAATGAAGTAGGCAAGTCTATCTGATAGAGATATAGGCACTCATTACCGGAGTACTATCAAAATAATATGAAATATTATGATAAAGTGTATAAATAAAGAGGTAAGGGACCCTCAGGAAAAAGGTATTATTTGTGTGGGGGCAGGAGGGAGAGAGTTAGGTAAGTATTTTGGTAGTTTGTTGGCTTAGGAGAGACACTCTTGAAATTGTCTCATTCCCTTCTCTTCCCTATACACTGGTTTCTCAGCTTTTCCATTCTAATTCCTTAAGGATATCTGAGATCTTCTCAGAATCCATTGCTGTGTGTGTATAAATAGATAAATTTAGGATCAAATACAAATAATCCTTTCCATGAAAAGTAGGAATAAATCTAGAGCATCGGATTAAGGATCCAATGACTCTAAATATGTCAAAAATGCATTAAAGTGGATGAAAAACGCGGCGGCGTTTTCGTAAATAAATCAATGTTATTGTTTTTTTTGCAAAAAGTGGAATTCCTGTGTGCAATAGTGTATCGTAAATGATCAAAAGTGGATGATAAAAAAATTCTCATTGCATTAGTGCAACTTAGATGCGCTAAAGTGGAGACGTTCACATTTTGTATTTTGAGACTACTTTTTATTGAAAGCGGACCCTATATATACCGTATGTATAGCATGTGAGGTTCAATTAAGAAGAAACCTTTATGTGAGAAATGAGAATGAATTTTAGCCGTTGGATTTGACTATGTTGCACTAAGAATAACTTCATGATGCATTGAAATATTCAACCTAGCACGGTGACATTTTCGTAAATACTTGTGAAAAATTCGTATTACATTTGTCTAGTGGAACATAAAGTTGTTTTAAATTTTAGTGCAATATGAAACAATTTTAGTGCAACATGGCAAAATTTAAATCTTATTGCAACATTAAGCTATCTTAATGCAAAATCGAGATTCATTCTCATTTCTCACATTAGATGCATTTCTCACTTAAACTATATGTGTGTGTGTGTGGTCCGGTTCCAATAAAAAATGGTCTTCTCATGAGAAATGCGAACGTCTCCACTTTTGATCATCTGAAGTGCACTATTGTATTTAGATGATTTTCATCATCCAGTTTTGCTCATCCACACGGTACACTTTTGCACACAGAAAGTCCACTTTTTGCAAAGAAGAAAAACATTGATTTATTTACAAAAATGCCACCACGTTTTTAATCCATTTCAATGCATTTTTGACATATTTAGAGCCATTAGATTTAATGCACCAGATTTATTCCTACTTTTCATGGGAAGGAGACTTTTTATTTGATGCAAAATTATATACTCCCTTCGTATTTAAAAGTTCCTTACACTTTTCTTTTTGGGCTGTATTTAAAAGTTTCCCACACCTTCCCTTTTTGGTAAGTTTTTCCTTTAAAAATACTCAGTTATCCTTACTTTTTATACTTTTTATCCTCTCTTTCCTATTTTTTCACCTTCTCTCCTACTTTTTCTATACTATTCATTACCCCTAATATTCTCCTTTAAATCTTGTGCCATAACCTAACATATGGATCTTTTAAATACGGAGGGAGTATATATCATCATTACCCTAGTGCTGCAAAGGCTCCCACCTATGGTTTGGTAAGCGGGGTCGCATGTATGTAACCTTACCCCTGTACTAAATCACAGAGAGATTGTTTTAGGATGACCCATAGTGAAAATCACATTGAAAATTGCATGGACTGACATCTGCTTCATATCAAAGAAGCACATTGTTGAGCCATTTTGCTTTATACTATCATATTTTCAAGCCAAAAAATAGTGAGTCTTTGGCTCCATTGCAAATGATGAAGAATATATAAATATAAATACATATGTATTATATTGTGTGTTTGGTACCTATCATTTGGTATCAGAGCGACGATCCTGGAGAACAATGGATGACCATCACGAGTGTATACATAGTACATGCCAATTACTATGCATTAAGAGGTTCAGTTTTAGGTACCTACCAAAACTGATAATTATCTGAATAACCAATATTCTCAGTCCTATGATACCATGCTGCTTATGTTTGTAGTTGTTTGCTTTGCTGATTTATGTTTTCTTCATCTTATCTTGTTTATCTTTCTTTTTATCTTATATTGTCTTGTCTTATCTTTTTTAATATCTTTAACTATCCCGTCCCGTTTTATGTTTCTTGTTTTGGTTTGTCATAATTATTAATAATGTGGTTGAAAAAGTAAAAGTTGTAATTATAATTTGAGTATAATAAAGTGAAATGCTATGGACCACATATTTCTTTTCCAATAATGGAAATATAACACTTATTTTGGGATAACTCAAAATGGAAAGTAAGAAATGCAAAATGGGACGGAGGGAGTATATCTTTTTTAGTTTCGATTTCATATGTCGATTCATGTTAGCCGACCCCAAGCTCTTTTGGGAGTAAGGTTTGAATGTTGTGGTATAGCAAGACAACACTTCATATCCTCTACCATTGTGCACATTTTTTTTGATAGGATTGTTCTCAAGCAGAATAGATGAGATAGTTTACCACTTTTGAAATGTTTCAGGCTCCGCTTTTAAAGAAATATCCCGCGAACATATCAATGACAGCATATTCATATCTGTTTGGCACCATATTAATGGTTACCACATCATTTTTTACAACAAGCCAGTCAATAGACTGGAGTTTGACACAATCTGAAGTTATTGCAGTGTGCTATGCTGTAAGTTTATCTTCTTTTGATATATTTATTGCTGATCTTCCCCGAGTTGCGTCCTTAAACTCTTTCATCTCCAACAGTCATTTATCTTGATCCTTGCCCCCTCTGGATCTCCCTCATCAATTAAGAAATGAAATTCTTTCCTCAACATGGGATTCACTGATGAACCTTGTGCTCTGTGTTTTACATTGTTTTTGAGATAAATGTTAATTGTGGATTTAGCAATATTAAATCTCCATTATTAGGATATTTAATGCATTTGGTTCTTCTTTACTCCTTATATGTCATTTGCTTTTTTTCCCTTCTTATTTTTACTACACCAAACAGAAGACAGCAACGTTTTCAGCCTTTAACCAAAACCGATGAGGAAGTACTCCTACCTTAGCTGCTTCATTACCAAATAACAAATAGAGTAATAAATCGAAAGTCAAAATTGCCCAAACAAAACTTTATTTTTTCACCCAGTGCATACAAATGCCCTTCTCTAACACTACCATCCTTTTGCTTTCTTTGGAAAATTCTTGTACTATTTCAATTCTACTTTTCGTTTTCAATTCAAATATGTAAGTGAAGATATAATGTTCCGTCTTCCACCAGATTCCTTTCTAGACTCGTTGAATTACAAAGTTCCCCTTCCTTATTATCAATTATACATGCCTTTTAGAAAAATGCTGTGAATTTTTTGACATTGCAGTCTAGTAGTCTATTCACTTTGTTTCCTTTGTCAGGGAATAATTGCATCCGCTCTTAACTATGGACTTCTGACATGGTGCAACAAGATTATTGGCCCTGCTTTAGTTGCTCTTTACAATCCACTTCAACCTGCTGCATCAGCATTCCTATCAAGAATTTTTCTTGGGAGCCCTATTTATTTGGGAAGGTTATACTTTTCATTTTTTCCAGTCTTTTCAACGTTTTTTAATTACTTCGTGTTATTTTTATTATTAATTGTTGTAAAGGTAAATTTAGTAGTCTTACATATTCTAACTTCATTTATAATGTTTCTTTTTAGAGAAAATTGCTCTAATAAGATTAAAACATAACGATCTTTCAAAAAAGGACTATATGTTTGTTTTCCTTAAGTAGGACTAAACATTACACTTCTACCCAAACAACAACAACATCCAAGCCTTAGTCCCAAAAGATATTGGGGTCGGCTAACATGATCGATACATGATATCACCACCTCAAGGAAAAGAAAGAAAATAAAGATAAAAAAGATAAGCTATAATAAAAAGATAATATAAAAAGAGATAAATATACATAAAAATGATAAAATAAAAAGGATACAAATAATGCTTATATATATAAGGATAAAAAACAAGGAAAAAAGATGAGCGAAAAAGATGATACGAGATCACTTCTCCACACGAATACCCGCCCTCCACTTAGTTCTCTCCAAAGTCATGCCCTCATCCAACCCCAGAAGAAGTATATCACTTCGAACTCCCCTAACCCACATCTGTTTGGGTCTTCCTCTCCCTCTCTTCCCTGCCTCTTCTCCACACATCTCAACTCGTATGAGAGGTGCATCACTCGGTCTTCTACACACATGACCAAACCACCGTAGGCGCGACTCCCGCATCTTGTCTTCAATAGGTGCTACTCCCACAATTTGTCTGATTGTCTCATTCCTCACACGGTCCTTCCTAGTATGCCCACACATCCAACACACCATGCACATATCTGCCACACTCATCTTTTGAATGTGACATTGTTTCACCGCCCAACACTCTACGCCATACAGTAATGCAGGCCTAATTTCTGTCCTATAAAACTTACCCTTCAGTCTAGTCGGCATACCTCGATCGCATAGAAATCCTGACGTACTCTTCGACTTCATCCACCCTGTTCTGATTTTATGAGATACATCTCCATCTTACTCACCGTCCTTCTGAATTATGGAGCCCAAGTAACGGAACATATCGTTGACTGGTATCTCCTTACCATCCAGAGTAATTCCGCTATTACCACTGCTTCTACCTCCACACAACTTGCACTCCATGTACTCTGTCTTGCTCCGACTTAGTTTGAAACCCTTATTCTCCAATGTTTGTCGCCATACTTCCAACTTTGCTTTAAGACATGATTGCGTCTCATCAATCAATACAATATCGTCAGCAAACATCATGCACCACGGTATATCGTCTTGAATTGACTTCGTAAGTTCATCCATGACTATGGCAAATAAGAAAGGGCTCATACATATCCATGATGATAGTAATAGGGAACTCTTCAGTCCTCCCTACACTAGTACGGACACTTGTAGTACAATCCTCATACATATCCATGATGATGCTGATATACTTGCGTGATATGCCTTTTCTAGTTAAGGCCCACCAAAGAACTTCTCGAGGTACCCTATCGTATGCCTTTTCTAAGTCAATGAACACCAAATGCAGATCCTTATGAGCGTCTCTATATTTCTCCATAAGTTGCAGAAGAAGGTGAATGGTCTCAGTTGTTGAGCGACCAGGCATAAAACCGAATTGATTCTCTGAAATCTTCACAGTTCTTCGAAGTCTTTGCTCAATCACTCGCTCCCAAAGTTTCATGGTGTGACTCATAAGCTTAATCACTCGATAGTAGCACATTCTTGTACATCACCTTTATTCTTAAATAAGGGGATAAGAGTACTCTTCCTCCAACTCGTTGACATCTTGTTGTTTCTCCAGATCATGTTGAAGAAACTTGTTAACCACTCGACACCTCTCTCTCCCAAACTTCTCCAAGCCTCGATCGGTATGCCATCTGGACCCACTGCTTTCTTCCGTCCCATCTTCCTCAGAGCTTCTTTAACTTGGATCCTTCTCACAAAATCACGATTTACCGTACAATCTGGTATGGACAAATCACCGATATCTTGCGTTTTGTTCCCGTTGAATAGTGTATCAAAGTATGACCTCCACCTCTCTTTTATCTCCCTGTCGCCCATTAATATCCTCTGATCGACATCCTTCACACACTTAACTTTTGCAATATCTTGAGTCCTGCGATCACGAAGATGAGCAAGTCTATAAATATCTAGTTTTCCTTCCTTAGAGTCCAACTTTTCATACAACTCCTTGTTCACTTTCCATCGTGCTTCCCTTACGGCTTTCTTTGCTTGTCTTTTAGTCTCCTTGTATGCTTCTATGTTCTCATCACTCCAACTTGTCCCCAACTTTTTGTACCAATCTCTTTTGTTTCTTATGGCTTATTTCACCTCATCATTCCACCAAGACGTGTCCTTTTTAGCTGGCAAACATCCTTTAGATTCTCCAACTACCTCCTTTGCCACTTTGTTAATGCTCAACTCCATTGATAACCACGCATCATCCACATGTGTTTCATTATCAATATGCCACACATCTTCACCGACCATTTTGTGTGTAAAGCTTTGTTGAAGATCTCCCTCAAGCCTCCACCACTTTATATTTGGCTCCACTTGTTGTTTAACTTGTCTTCTATGGTTCTTACCTCGAAAGTCAAGCACAAGCATCCTATGCTGAGTGACAACACTCTCACCTGGAATAACCTTACAATCAGTGTAGCTAGTTCTCCAAGTGGTCCGTACCTAAGTAGTTAACTCCATACTCGGCAGCTACTCGGTCAAGGGCCGAGTAGCGAGTAGGATCGATTACTCGGGATTACTCAGTGATTACTCGGTCATATATTAATTAAATATAATAATATAGGTGCCTGAGATTATAGAAATATGATAGTCTTTAAATAGTATTTAAATTGTCTTTAAATGCATAGAAGTGAATAAAAAGATAGAAATCCTATTATCTTGATGATGGAGTAGCAAAAGTCATAAAGCAGTCAATAATCTAATAAGTTGGTCTGATATTAATCTTTGTTGGGTTCAAGGTCGTGATTTCCTTCTTCATCCTGCATGTCCCCAAATAGTTCTTCTCCAAATAGATCTTTAGTAATCAGATTCCCCACTTATTTTTCCTCTTCCACTTTCGGGTCATCTAAATCAATATCTAGCAGTCTATACACACTGAGCTTGCACCCCATGACCCCATATTTGTTTGATCTTTCTGTTCATTGGTTTTGATCCTTCTCCCTTGCCTTCACTCTTACGGGTACAATGTGTAACCTCCCGAAAGTTGGATAGGCATCTCACCTCTACAACACCATGGCTTGATTTTTTTTTGTATTTCTTCTATCTTAAGTTACTTTTTTGTCATATAGTTCTGAATTTACCTATTTTTTCACTAAACAGCATTGAAGATAAACTCATCCAGTCTAACATTGATTTTGATAATGCAGCATACTGGGAGGACTTCTGATCATAGCTGGTCTTTATTTGGTAACTTGGGCTTCATATAGAGAGAAACAATCACAGACGATAACTATTCCTCATACTTCTCGCTCCTCGGAACCTCTAATTCCTAGAGAATCTTCACTTAACAAGCTCTCATAGCAGGCAGACGAAATTTCCCTGGTGCCTTCTACATCAACACCTAAAATGAAGGATTAGAACAATAAGTCTTTGACTCCAGTTATATATTTTAAACGAAATATTTTTACTCCATCTTTGGGGTTTACAGTCAATTTTATTCCTGATTGGAGATGTTTGTGCTGTTTTTGGAGTGCACGTTTAACGTTTAATTGCTGCCATTGCAGGCTTCCTCAATGTTCATTGCAATTTTTGTGTCAATTATACTTCGGAAAATTGACAACAAAAATCCCACCTTTCGCCAGTCTTCTCAAAATAATCTCAATCAACATAACTCCAGAATAATTTCACCTTTACACTCCATCATCTTTGGTTCCTAACCGGTTGATGACTCATTATTCCAGCATTTTTGCTTTTTCTTTGGAAAACATTAAACAAATAGTCTTACCTTTAATTGATCTTCTCAAAACAGTTATATATATCAATTTTTCCTTTTCTCCCTACAAGTTTTCTTTCTTTATTATTATCCCTCGACACTTTTGATTCCCTTTTCTCATCTTCTTGTTTCTATTACTTTTCATGTTTATGCATTCTAATTCCTACTCTTTTAGGATAATTTTTTATAAAATTTCCTCCCGGGTAGTTTTTTTTGCCTTTCTAGTTCGGGGTGGACCGGTTCCGGTTCGGGTCTGGTTCGAGCTTGGGCCCGGCCGGGCCTCGGTTCATGAAAGGGGAGGCTCGGAACCGGCCCGGGTAACCCCCGGGTCTGGTCCGGGCCGAGCCTCGGTTCATGTAATTTTTTTTGGCTTTTCCTAATTAACCCCCGATCCTTCCCCCTCACCCCCAACCCACCTCAAATGGCCCATCATACCCAGCCCAACCCAAAAACTTAAAAAAAATTCAAAAAAAAAAAGAAAAAAAAAATAAATTGGCCCGGACCGGGCCCGAACCGGCTGGGTTGGTTCACTATTTAGCAGACTCGGGCCCGAACCGCCTACCTCACCGGGCCGGGTGGCCCGAACCGGGCACCAACCGGTTCACTGGGCTGGTCCGGTCCGGGCCCGCACAGTAGTCAGTAGTGGGCCGGTCTGGTTCCGGGCCGGTTGGCCCGGCCCGAGTCCACTCCTATCTTCCCGTACTTCTGTTTCACTTCCTTTTTAATGTAATTCTCTTCAAATTAATTCCCTTTTAATAAAAGATTTTTCCCCACTCTATATTCCTCTTTCCCCAATTCCCTCCTTTCTTATTCCTCTTAGCTTAATTATATGATTATATCATTATATCATGAATATATTTCTTTCTATTTCGGCATTGTCGTATTTTTCAAAGAGAGTGCACCCATCAACTCCATCAAATATGGGGAAAACTCTTTTGATAAAAATCTCGGGAAGAAAGAAATAAAATATAAAGGAAAACAAATCAATCGAGGAAAAGTAAGAAAGAAAATAACAAAAGAAAATATTCACATATACTCTTTACATGAAAGGCCGAAAGGGATAATTGGGAGGGGATTAGCCGAAAAGAGAAGAAAAAGATGAGAAGCCCAGAACAAAAGTTACTATTACAAATCATTAACGTGTCAAAGACTAGCAAATAAGATTGGTTGAAAGGGACTGGCAAAAAAGATTGGTTGAAGGGGAAAGAACAAAAAAAAAAGGAAAGAAGAAAAAAATAATGACTTTTGATATGAAAAAAAAGGGATAAGAAGAAGAAAAGAGAAGAAGAAAAAAAGAAAAAAAAAAGAAAACCGAGTAGGGCATGATAAAGTATTATTAAAATAGAACTAAACTGAATAGCACTAAAAATATTACAACGTGTTGTAATACATAAAAAAAACTATTGAGCGGAAACATCACAAAAAACGCTTTTCTAGTAGGGCGGAAAGGGAATATGTAAACAGAGAAAATAAATAAAAATAACAAGAAGATGAAAAAAAAGGAAACGTGTTGAGATGATAAAAACAAAGAGAGAACAGTTCTAGGGAGAAAAAAAAAATGTTACATGGGAATGTTTTGGGAAGATGGGTGAAATGTGAAATTATTTGTTTAATATTTTCCAAAGAAGAAGTAAAAAAATTGGAACAAGTCATCTACTGGTCAAGAACCATTTAAATCAAATTCACGATACGCTCATGAGTGGCTTGGCTCAATTGCACCCCTAATACAGGGTATCATATCCACATTGATAATAGAAGAGTGTTAGTGATTTATGGAATATCAACTGTTCCAAATTGGTATATAAAAATAAATTAAGTGTGAGTTTGTTGTTTGTTTGGAGTCTCATTGAGTGTGGAATTCACTATTTAGGCCAGTTTTCGGTGGATTTTTTTGATGAATTTTTTTGAGCATGTTCATTATCAAGTCTAGTTTATGTCCACCAAATTTTAGCTTGAAATTCAATCGGAAAGGCAGTTCAATAATTTTTTTGAACATGTTTATCACACTGCGCTTTAGAGAGAGAGTAATCTTCCGGTCAGGAAATTCCTGCTCAGAGCGCCGTCTGGCCGCCTCTGTTTGGGGTGGTTTCTGGTGGTGTGTGTTGAAGACATTTTTATTGTGATCAAGTTGTTAAAATTAATAGGATGTGAGATAAGTACCTCAAACTTTCATATGTAATATGGGAAAAATACCTCAATAATACTAAAACATTTGAGATTTCCCAAAATATGATCATGTGTGTTTTTATATCATCCGTATGACCAAACATGTAAAGCAAAACATGGGCGCACGGTTGAATAGGAGGGGACTGTTGGAAAAATAACCACCCACGTGAATGGAGGTCATCATGTGAGATTGTGAGGTCATAGATTAGTATAAATATTAAACTAGTCATATAATGGGAACTACATCATCTTTTAGTAATATCCATGATAAATTTCTCATGTAATATATGTACCCCGAACTTTATATAAAAAGTTATTTTTGCACCATGATTGTATGTTTTTTTACAAATACAAATTTAGTAGAATAATTACATAATTTTAAATACTTTATGCTTTCTTAGAATGCAGTTAACATTCTAAAACTTCATTTGTGAAATACATAATATTACATCCGATACAATTTAATTTTAATTGCATTCTCAAAAATGTTTTGTGTATTTTAAATACGTTCTTAACACCATAAAATTACATTTGTGAAACAATATATGATCATTGTGCTAATATAACTTTTTGTATAAAATTTGGGTATATATATTATATGTGCAAGTTTGAAGTACTTATCTCACATCCCTTCAAAGTTTGAGATATTTAAACTATTCCCCGTATTTGTAATAAATAGTATAAGCTTTTTAAGGATGAGGGCCATTTATGTGTAAGGCCCAAATCCCTAGGTTAGGCTTTTTTAGGAATGCTGTACACCCTACGCATATAAATATGCGCTTAGGATGTACAACGACTAACTTTTCGCACATCCACAGTAGCCGCATAGCAGTTTTCGATATTTAGTGAGTGAGAGTTTCATCTGTTCGAAATATTCAAGATCATTCTAATGAAATTCTTTTCAATCCTTATTTCGAATATGTGCATCCATATATGTTGGTTAATCTCATAAAAGTTTTTAGTTTTTCGAAGAAATGCTCTGTTTTTAGTTTTTCGACATTTTTGAATTTCTGATTGGTTTTTCTTGTTTTTACTAGAAAAATTGAGATAACGATACTGCTGAAATCGCCTGATCAAAACGGACATTTATTGCCGCTCCATGTTCGCTTTCATCAAATTTAGGATTTCTCGATATACTCTATTTTTCGAAGTTCGTTCAACAGTATTTTTCGAACAGAAGACTTGGCAGGATATTTTCGAAGAACATGTTTTTGCAGCTGAAGAAATTTCGAACTACAAACAAGCAGAAAATTTTCCAAGGACGGTTCTCGAAAAACCAGTTTTTTGAACACTTCGGTTTTCAAAATTAGTTTTCGAATTGAGTTTTTTGAATTTATATTTTTGAAGATTAATTTTCAAACCTTAATTTTCGAACTTCAGGTTTTCGAACTCATTTTTTAAATTGAGTTTTCGAAGTTTACTTTTTGAATTTCAGTTTCTCGAACTCATTTTCGAACCCTAAATTTTTGAACTCTAGGTTTTTCGAACCTTGGTTTTCGAACCCTGACCAATTCCTTTTTGGTCAACCACTTGACGGTCAGTTTTTTAACAGCAAAATGGTCGCACTATCTCTCGGTAATGAAAGCAAACCACCAATTCTCAGGAGATGGGAAAATTTGATGTGGCAAAACACATTTCTTAATTTTATGGAAACCAAGGACAACTCCTCTGCTATGCTTCAATCTCTGAACGAAGGACCCGCTGAGCTTTGGATGACAGTCGGAGGAGATGATGAGAACAACCCTTTGATTGAACCTGAACAGAGACTGAAAACCCCAGAAGATTATGATGCTGCTGACAGAATGAGAATCAAAGCTGATATCATGATGAAGACGTATTTGCTACAAGCAATCTCGAATGACATCTACATTCTGATTGATAGCATGGAGACAACTAAAGAGATGTGGGATGAAGTCCATAAGCTCATGCAGGGAACCGAGCATGGAATTAAGACGAAGAAAGCTAGCACGCTGACTGCCTATGGTGCCTTCAAGGCAAAGCCTGATGAACCACTTCACGAGACCTACAATAGGTTTGTCATGCTGCTGAATGAAATGAGGAAGATCATGTAATGATCTTACAAGTTACGTGGGTTGCAAGAAATAGAGATAGGAGAGAATGATAGAGATAGGGGTAGGAAATATAATAAGCTTTTTTATTACTTCTCAAAGTACGAACATACATATTTATATGTTTGTGATGATTTAAGGCTAAGCCCGTAAGTCACTGAACATCTACTAGTGTAATTTATTTAATGGGCCTACAATAATATTAAAGTATTCAAAATATTTTATTTAATGGGCCTTTAATAATATAAAGGTATTCCAAGCAGTCCATTAGCCCGTTTCCTCCTTTGGTCCAGATTCAAGATTATCCGCCTCCCTCTTCTACCCCGGCAACGAACAAGTAAAGCTCTTAGCTTTCTCACATATCTCTGCATAGGGTAAAAGGTTAGAACTTTCCTCCATTTTAGATGAAAACATGACAATACCCCCTCCTTTTTGCGATCCTTGACCCCAAGGATCAATCTTTGGAAACATTTTTCTGAAAACAGCCCTAGATACCCACGCTTCAACGGCTTTCTCATCCCGAGTGTGAGTCAAAAATAGGGTTACCCGAGCTGCTCCAGAGGGTTCAATACATATTTTCTTCACTGTGGAGGGAGAGATGA